AATAATTAAATACTTATATAATACTTTTACTATTTATAATTAATACAATATAATAAAAATACTACTTTTTAAAAATATTTATAAAAATATTACTTCAACCGCATTGAATAAATACTATCATAATACTTGTGTTGATTTTATTTTACTTATGTGTGTGCAATGATTAAAAATATTTTTAAACATATATTTAATTTTTAAAAAATAAAATAATAATTGAATATATAAATTAAGAGATAAATCGTTAAAGTGTAACATATTTGTATTTGTTAAGGAGGAAAATGTTTATTATTACCTTTGTTCTTATATATAAAACTCAATTATACATAATTTACCAAGATTAAGAAAAGTAGTTAATAATAATAAGTTTGTTCTATTTATATATTTTTTTTTAAAAAAATTAATTATATTTATACCACTTCTCTTTTCTTAATACTTATATATTATTTGACCAATTACAATGTATATCTAATACTATTTTTTTCTCTTAATTAGTATTCATCTTTATTCTAACCAATTAGAACGTATTTTCTTTAAAGAGTTTATAATAAAAGGACTTTATCAAATTAAAAGAACATATTTTAATTAAGAATATTTTAGTCTAAAAATAATTAATATAATAATATAATATAAATTAGATTTTATATAAAAATAAAAGAAAATATAATATTCACACCTCTTAAAAGAAAAGAATATAATTTACTCAAATACAAGTGTGTTTTAGGTTGCTCTTTTATACTTCTACTATATTTTGCCTTTTATATAGATTGTGGACATGATTTAAGAACAACACTGAAAATTCAATGTTCATTTTCTTATTAGAGTATTGATCCTACATATATCATTTTGATATATGACTTTGTATTATGTTAAAGTACTCGTCCCAAAATAATTCCAATAATATTGTGTTATAAAAAAATGTATTTTTTTTATTCATCAAAATTATAAAAACAACATTAAAGTTAGAACTTAATATTTTTGCACTCTGTCATTTCTCCATCAATAATAGAAATAGAGTCAACCACAGTTACAGAACAAAAACTAATTTAATCTATCATCCAGTGACTTGACATATGTAACAGAACAAAAAAACAAATCATCATGGCATTTATGAAGATAAGTTGAAACGTGCTTCACCCCTTCTTCCCATTATCTGTCAATGGTTTTCTTTTCTGTGAAAATTATCTGTCAATGGTGGAATGGCCTATTTCAAAATTACTAATATTAATGTAATTAACACAAATTTCATGTAATAAATGAATTATTGTGATTTATATTTAATAATTAATTAAATATTTAGAGCAATGTCAAATTATATTTAAAATAATAATTCATCAATTTTATATTTATTAATTGTCAAAATGCTGTTATGTAAACTAAATTATACAAAACATTTAATGTCGGCCCTAAAATGTAAGTGATTCAACACTTAATCATTATTACAATAACCAAATTGAAAATCATCTGCAAAATATAACACCCAACTAATTAAATGTACTAAAAAAACTAAATAGGATTTGAATAAACAAACAATTGAGCAAATCAATAATACTATAAGAAAATTGACTTGTAATGATTGAGAAAAACTGTCTCTAAAAATAAAGAACTTAAAAGTAAATATCCATCTTATATTGACCCATAGTTTTGATCCTTACAATCTAAGCCAACTTAGTAAAAATTTTCAGTAGTGTAATTCACCAAAAAAAAAAAAAAAAACGGGTTAACGGTGTTTTTATTCCTAAAAAATTTCAAAGTTTAAAAAATGTACAAATTATACTTTCTTTTTTTCCTAACAAGGACCAAAGTTTGTGTATTTCAAAAAATGTAGGGACTATTTCATAAAAATTAAAAAAAAAATCATAGTTATCAATTATTATATTTTCAATTGTATATTTATATGGGGACTATTTCAGGACAAAATTAATTATTATTTTTACAATATGTACTTTTATTTACCCAATTTATAAACATATATAATTTTTATTGAGATTTTATTAGTATAAAATATTCATTGATTTTAACAATAATTATTTCTTGTCAAAAAAACTTAATTAATCACTTTTAGTGAGATATTTTCTTTCAATTAATTTTTTTTTCTCTATTTACAAAACTCAAATCATAGGTCTTATTTAAGGATTTAAGTCTGGTTTCACTTGAATCAGTGACATGTTGATAATTGATAAATACTTTATATATATGCTTATCATAAATGAGAAAGAAATATATAATAGTGAAAGTTATTATCGAATTAATAATAATTTTAATATAGACGGGGATATTAATTATATTTTTCGATTGTATCTTATCCTCTTAAACGGACAGATAAAAAATACAGATAATATTAACTTGGATATCAACTTGAAAATCTCATATTTACTTTATATCTTTCATATATGTTAAAGCATTTAAAAATTATTTTATTGTAAAATCTCTCTGATTTTTCATTATACATGAATTTAATTACCATTTTTTTGTGTTAAAGCAATGTATAGCATGAACCTTAATTTAGTAATGGGAATCTCTAATAAATGCATCGCAAGACTTTCCCTAATTTCATTCCAGTTACATTTTAATTTTTTTCTATATAAACAACTGAGGACAGAACGAGAAAGGCACATCAAATCAACATTTCCAGAATTTCTCTCTTGTTCCTTCTTTGCTCTCTTTTTATCACTATCATGGCCAGAAAGAAGGTGGACCTTACCTACATAGCCAACGACTCGAAGAGGAAGGCAACGTTAAGGAAAAGGAAAAATGGTTCAAAAATTGCTTCTCTTTAATTCTTTTTAACTGTGTACTATTAGTTCATTTGTGTATCATGTACATTTACCATTTTAACACAAGTTTTCAATTCCTAATCATTTCTCAGTTTCTCTCATTTCTTCTTTTGGATATCTTGAATGCTCCTAACAGGTTTGATCAAGAAAGTTGATGAAATCAGCATCCTTTGCGGCATTGAAGCATGTGCTATAATTTATGTTCCGGAAAACCCTACACCTGAGGTTTGGCCATCTGATTGGGGGGTTCAGAATGTGCTTTCCAGGTTTAGGGGAGTGTCTGAACTGGAACAAAGCAAGAAAATGTTGAGCCAAGAGAGTTTCCTGAGGCACAGGATCATCAAGGCTCAAGAGCAGTTGAAGAAACTAAAGGCTGAAAATAGGAAGAAGGAGATGACCCTTAACATATACCAGTACTTTAATGCTTCTGGAAACATTTTTGATAGTGCCAACATGATTTATCTGAATGATATCGCACACATGACCACTCAAAACTTGCAGGAAATTGACAGAAAAATCAATAGAGACCAACAACCCCAAGACCAAGAGGTTGTGGCACCGGTTGTTCCAGAAGGAGGGGAAATCATGGCTCAGCAGGGAGAACAAGCACAGCTTGTGAATGATCATGTGCAAGTGCCTGAGGCCAATAATGTGAATGCTGTTGGAAACCAGGATTGGCCTGTGGAAATGATCAATGGTGCTGATGGGGACCAGATGTTAACAATGGATGATGTTAATCTTCCAAGTGGTTGGCTTAACCAATATATCCCTTGAAAAAATTGTGTTCTTCTTGGGATGATTTGGTTTCAATAGTTGTTTTGTTTCTCTTGTTTGAACCGTTCGGTGTTTGTTGTCTTTGAATGTGTCTATGTTTAGACACTGAAATAATATTAATGATATTTGGACTTGTTGCTCATGATCAGTGTATTTTAAGGATTCAGCTATCTTTCAATTATGCAAAAATCTCAATTGTTTACATTTTCGTACTTTGAAAGAATTTGCATATATATTTGAAGGAAGTACTCTTTGATATATTTAATTATTTATCAATATAAAGGTATAATTATATATAAAATGCATTTTTTTTTTGTTCTAGACAATTTGAATTATACCAGTTGTTTTATCTGTCTATTGTATAAATTGATTAAATTTCAATTCTATTCCATGTCCATCATGCGGGTTAGACTTGCTCAAGATCTAAACACTGCTTTTTTGAAATTTTCAGATTGTATTCATATGAATCTTATGATCTTTGTAACGTGTCCAAGCACTAGCCGCATCCATATCAAAGGGATTAACCATGAATCACTGATAAAACACCTAGATAAAATAATGGCATCCTTTTATTAGTTAAGTTCTTTCTATTAAGTGTGCATCATTTCATCAGTACATTAAAAGCTGCTAGTGTTCTTACTAACTTAAAGCATCAAATTAATGTCTTTATATATGCCTGTCTTGTTGCCATACTGCAAATTAAAAGAAAGCCACTGAAAGAAAAAAAAATGAGAAAGACTCGTACAACTCAATTTGAAACAATTTGAATTTCAAAATCAACAGAATTTGTAAAGAGTTTATATTCAAAAAGAGTTACACACAATGCAAATTTGAATTGTACTAAAAAGATTAATAATTTCTCATAATTTTTTTTGCAGATTATAAAATTGATAAAAGACTATGCTGAAATTAGAAAGAAAAAAGAAATATTTATATTGAAAATATAATGATGGCTTGGACTTTTTTTAGGGGCCTCATTCTATATTAATCAAATAAGGCAAAGAGCAATATTTTACAATGTATACAGTAGACATGGTTCTAAATTGTGGTAGCGGTTGCGATTGTGGCCACTGTAGTCGTGACTATTATGTCTACTGCAATGCGAGTTATAACCGTTGCGGTGTGAAATTATTATATACGTGCATGAATATAAATAAATAATTAGATATTTTTTTCTTTATTTTTTTACTCAAAATCTCTTTCTTCATTTTTTAAAATACATCATACACATTTTAATATTCTAACTAATTATCATTAATTGTCTTTCTTTTTCCATTAATATCCCATGTGACCAAATTTTTTAGAATAGAAGATTAAGATTTGAATCTATGTATGTATTTTGACAAAAAAAAATAGAATAAAATGATGTTATGGATATTGCATGCAGTTGTATTGTGATTATATTACGGTTGAATTGAAAAATTTTAAGTAATTTAAAATCACACTATAATTGCGAACCATTGCGATTGTGATGAACACCGCAACAACAATATTACGATTGCAATTACGGTTACAGACTGCAATTTAAAACCTTGAGTAGTAATGAGAAAAAATTATTTTACCATATATTTATAAAAGATTTTAATTTGTGCATAATGGTTAAATCCACAATGACTACTAGATTTTAATTCTTTTATAATTAGTAAAATCAATAAATATAAAAGGCGGGTTTGAGTAAGAATTGAAATTAGCTAGTGAAAACAAAGATTAAAAAACCATGAATTTAAAATTAATGAAGCTTTTTCTATTAAGCAAATAGAATTACATTATTGAGTAAATTGAACTTTAGCACAAGATATGATAAACCCCAAAAGGAAATGATTGATACAACATGACCTCAAATCAATATCAATCAAAGAAAAACCCTTAGCAGCAAAACATGTAAATATGTGTAAAGCTTACAATATGAATGGTAATTGGTTTGACATCAACACCTGCACATGATTCTCTATATATAAAGGATAATTCTAAATAAGAATTTAACTGCAAAATGTGCAAGATAGGAACCTAATTTTCTATATATGATTGCACAAAATTGAACCATTACTACATGACAGTCCACAAAAGCAAGATCAATATGAATTACCAACATGACTATATGAACCATATAAGCAAGGCCATTGTCAGAGGTTTAACAATTATTATATTACCAATATTGTCACAATCTTTAAAATCCTTCTTCTAAACTCCATTTCAATATTTAAATGCACATATCTAAATTCTGCACCTTCATTAAACTGAGAAGTTCTCCACTTTCCTCATATTTGTCATCAATGCTATTTGGAGACCTGAGAACTTAATAATAGAAACTTGCATTTGTGCTTTCAGTTGACTGGAGCAGGCTCATATAAGCTGTCCTCTGCACTTTCATAATTATCTAAATAATCCTCACTTGCAATTCTTCTATTATTTTCTGCTTCAATCACCTCTTGTGCATCTTGTACATCCATTCCTTCAGTCATGTTTTCAGACAAATTGTGTTTAAACCCATCTTCTGTATCCTATTCTTCAACATTTGTATCATGTCTTTTTTTTATATTATAAATATCATTTGCCCTATTTAAAAAAAAAAAAAATGAGCCTCTGACATACCTTCAGTACCAGTGTTAATAGCCTCTTGATCATCATCAATATCATGCTCATACACAAGTATCAACCTTACCATTGACTCGAACCATGATGCACAAGTCAAATATGTCGGTGTCATTCTCCAATGCAACTCATTATCCTTTCCTCTCTCCGAGCAGTACTAGTACATGTTTTAATACTTCTAATATATATAACAACCTAAGAGACATTACCATAACTAGTGCCTATATTTATAGAAAACGTAGAATATTCTAAATTGAAGTTCTTATCAAAAGAATGTGTAGCAGAAGATGATATCAATATTGTTGGAAATTGAGAATTTTCCAACTATAATAAAATATTTTAAAGTTTGGTAGTTTTATATTTTATTTGTAAGTTTAGTTAAAGATTTTTTTTATATTTTATTCAAAAAAAAAAAGTAAGTTGTGGTTACATATAAATGATGCTTATTTTCTATGTATTCAAATTTTTTTTTGCCTTACCAAAAATTAAAGATTTGTTAATTTTAACATTTAAACACTTATTGTAACAATTTCAATATGTAAAAAAATTGAATTGATAATCAAAATATATCGTATCAACTTTTGGTCCCTTTACATCTTTATATGCAGATGTTGGTTTCTTCCAAAAGCATTTCTAGAACATCCGATACTAGAGTTTGCTAGTTGTTAAGAGTGCTCACTAACGCCTTGAAGGCACATCCAAGATGATATCAAATTATACACCTGTGCAAAATCCAATATCACCAAAAACCTGAAAATCAGCAAGTTTCCACGTCATGCAACATCTCAAACAACATCTATATAACATATACAACACAAATTCATCATCAAAAATAACATGCAACTAAAATTGATAACCAATCAATCATGAACCTCCATGAACACCATAAACACTCAAAACCTATGGACAACCCCTTTCAACTTCATCATTAAACTCAATCAACAAAAGCAAGCAACTTATAATCAACATTTCACCTCACAACATGCTCAAGAATCCAAATCATAACTTCCCTTACCTCTTGGAGACTCAAATCCGCAAAAGGAAAAGAGAAAGAACTTCGTACGATAATGATTCAAATCTTTCACCTTCACAAGCTCAAATTCCAACCCAGAACCCACTTGAATCAGCTGAGGAAAGAGGAGAAAAGATCTCTCTCTAGCTTTTCTTTAGAGTTCTAGAAAACATGAGTTATGAACTTCCTTTTGAAAAGTTTTCCTTTTTATACCTTTCCTGAGTCAATTCCGCTTATCTCTGATCCAACCACACCTAGAGATCGACTTGCTCTCAAGGTCTTTCAACCCTAAAGCTCTCAGCAATAACCGTCAAATCAAATAACAAGATTATGAGATGACAATGTTACAATCAACCTAGTGATGATTGAGATAATATGTGTATAATCTTAAGTTCGAACCTTGTTATTAATTTAAATTTTATGGATAAAAATATCTAATACAACAAACAAAAAGTCTTGAATTAGTAAAATAGAGTTCATACCTGTGCCCAAAATAAAAATTGCTCATTCTTTTGAAAGGACAACATTCACACAAATTTGAAAGTTAAAGAATCAAAATGAATTATTTAAAATATAAAGAACCAAAAGTATAATTTAATCACTTTTTTTTCTTTAACTTGATTTATAAGGCATATGATAGATTCCTGTAATAAATTTTAATGAGAAATAATATCAATACATTCTCTAACACATTTTTTTTAGATAAATTTTTTATGTTTAAATGTGTTTGATCTATATAATACTTTTTTATTTTGATCCTTATAAAATTATTTTTTTAAATAGTCTTCATAAAATTTGTCCTTTATATTTTGATCCTTGTTATTTTATTTTAGTCCTTGTAATTTGCTTTTTTTTTCTCTGTGTAATATGTAAGCAATTTTTTTTTAGTCCGTACTAGTTGTTTTCAAAAGGATTATGTCAAAATGAATAAAATATTATAAGGACTAAAATGAAAAAAAAAAAATATATTATAAATAAATAAATAAAAATTGGGTCTCACTCATGATTTTTTAATTTATGATAAATTTTAACTAACATTAAGAAGTGTGTCACTAACATTAAACAATTTTTAATTTGAAAAATAAATTAGTTAAAGTATATATGGTGTGTTTATGGGAAAGTGTTTTTTTTCTCCCAATTTTCAGCTGTTTTGATGAGAGGGAAAAATTATTTGTGAAATAAGCTACTTGTTTAGAAAATTAGCAGAAATCTATGAACAACATTTTTTTTTTAAATAAGTTGTTTTCATGAATTTAAAAATTTGAAGCTTGTAATTATTTTTTAACACCTTTTCTTCTAAACCAGGTTTACTATGTAAAATCTAATATTTTATGTTGTACCTAAACAAAATTAAATATCTTAAAATTACTATTCAACAAACTTGTTCAAATAAAAATTTATTATAATCAATTATAAAATAATTAATTACAGACATAAATATTGATTATTAATGTAATTTTAAATTTAAGAGCTTTTACAGAAGAAAATAATAAATTTTAAATTTTAGTTATAAATCAAAACATTTATTATTAAAAAAT